ATTCCCCGCACCTTCTTTAACCCCCGCAAACCCAACCTCACAATGAAGCCCCCCTCCAAACTAACACTGCCCTCAAAGACCCCCATCAGCACAATCAGCTACTTCATCCACCGCAACCCTAAGCTCTTCCCCGACCCAAACACCTTCCGCCCCGAGCGCTGGATCGAAGCCGCCTCGCAGGGCGAGAATCTCACCAGGTATCTAGTCCCCTTCGCCAGGGGCAGCAGGATCTGTATCGGGATGAAGTGAGTGGGATCCATCCCATCAAATTTCTTCATGCCCTCCCTCCATTGGAAAGCTTGTCCCATACTATCCTACTTGGGCGTCAGGCCCAGAAGCCAAGCCAAGCAGTCCTTCCTCGCACACAGGGCTAACACAGATCCCGAAACGTCGTTTACCGGATAAAAAACAGTCTGGCCTACGCGGAATTGTACATGACTATTGCATCGATCGTGAGGCGGTTCGATCTCGAGCTCTGCGATACGAACCCCGAGGATATGAATTTCGTCCGGGAGAAGATCCTGCAGCGGCCGGAAAAAGGGGTCTGGACGTTGAAGGCGAGGGTCGTAGGGATTGTTTTGGAGTGAAAGCGCTGAGGGTTTGTTTCGTGGGCTAGTGGTGGATTTGCCCCGGGGAGATTCAACTTCCTATTTCCTTGCTTATCAATTATTTGATGATGTCCTGGCAGGCTCCAATTGAGCATAGTGATTGAATTTGTCACAATTAGTTTACACTCATCTACCCTAAGAAGTCGGGAGACTGTGGGTGCGTATGCGTGACGACGTATTTATTATGGATTGGATGTAAACGAATTTTGGTAGGAACTCCTGAAACCGGGCCCCATGATGCATAAATGTTACAAAGGCCAAGAGTAAGGGACTGTTCCGGATGTCTCTAATACTGCCCGTCATGGCCTTTCTCCTTATTCCCGCGAAGACAAATAAAGCAGGCGGCAAAGGTACTGCCCCAATCGTTAAATAAGATCGAACCAGATCAGACATAAAAAAGATATACAAATACATTTCCTTTCGAGGTGCCTATCTCATCAATCCCCTTCCTTTTCCTACTGATCACTCAACTAAATCGACCCGAGTCCCCCGAAACTCACGCCTCGGGCCAATCCCAGCCGCAGAACCCGCATGATATCCTCACCCGTGACATCATCCGGTAGGCCAGCACGCCAATCCCAGCCTCGGTCGTGAGATGCAGCAGCGCCTTTCTCTGCGTTCAACCGGGGCACAAGCACACCCGAGCTACCGGCTGAGCCGGAGCCTGAGAGCGTGCGTGCTGATCCGACCATCTCGCTACCAATGAAGGAGAAGGTGCTGGAAGCATTGAGAGCGGAGACGGACTTTTTCAGCATGGCGCGCGGCGATGGAGGCAGGATGTAAGAGTCGGTTGATGAGGATGCATTTGCGTTCTTAGAGGATTGATATTCAATCAAGGTGGAGCGGAAACATTCTTCGCACTGGGCGTAAACGCGAGGAGTGACAGTTTGGAGGTCCTCGATTGCGGAGAGAATGGTGAATTGCTGAGAGACTGAGAGGATGGGGGTTGGTTCTGAAGCCGGTCAGAGTCTACACAAAGTCTACAGCAACACGATTGTAAAATGGAAAGAACTCACGGTCAACAAACGGGAGGACCTCGCCCAATAGCGTCAAGAGGCCATCGACTTGGACGGCGGAGTCACGGTCTGGATCGTACAGGCCGCCATAGATACTGTCTGCGGCGCTGCTGATGACTGCCACAAGAGCCTGGGCTGCCGCACGCCGTCTAGCAAGAGGCTTGTAACGAGGTTGTTGACCTTCTTTCAGGTTCACGGCCTCGTCGCGGATTTCGTAGTAGCGGCGTAAAGTTGCGTATCCAGAAAAGTAGTATTGCAGGATACTGGCTGCATCTTCGTCGGATCCTGCAATGGCAGCCAGACAACGACCAGGGTCTCGAATCAAAGACTCGAGCTGCTCGTCAAGGTCATTCGACGCAGGATAAGCGCGAGACTGCACAAGAGTGTATGAAATAAGCAGGTCAACCACGGATTTGACCTTACGGCGATTATGTGCGCGCGCATAGCACAGGAGAGCGAGACCGTAGTCCTCTGAATCAGCAACGGTAGCATCACCGAAACGCTGGTCGAATTAGCAGCTGGTTGATGAAACGGATAAGATAGGAGAACTAACCTCTGAAACCTTCCGCCCTTCATTGTCAAGATCAAGCTCGGAACAAAGCATAACCACCTTATCAACTTCCTCCGCCGTGTTGAGCGGCAATCTTTCCAGCAGTTCCGAAACACTCTTTTGCAACTTTCCCCTGTCGTCCAAGCGACTCAGAACCTCGAGAGCTACCTCCCAACCGTTGCGAGTACCATCTTGGCATTCAATTGACTGTCGTTCAAAAAGGCCAGATGCATAGGCACTGATTACATCGTTCTTGTTCACACGAGGGCCGGTCGTTTCAGTGCCTTGGCCTTGACCATACGACAAAACCATCAGATCGTCCTCGCTCAAGCCAGGTATAGATTTCGATTTGGTGACTCTAGGATTCAGCCAGTCCCCAATAGACGCGACCTCGACTACGGCACATGAAACACACAGTGACCATGTCTGAAGCAGCTCAATCACACCTTCCACGTTGCCCTCGAAGACAGAAGCCAGCCCAACTTCGAGACTGCTAAGTGAATTGACGCGGAAACTAGCATCATCGCCTTCCGCGCTTGTGGCGTGACCAAAAGCTAGATCGAGTCGACGCAAATAGGAATCTTGCGCACTGGTAGGAGACGTGTTCCTTGCTGGGCGAGAGAATAAAGGGTTGAGGCTGGTGGGCGGAAGGTCACTAGGGACCTCGTCATCATCGTCACCACCCCACCACACGGTCATGCAGATGGTGGCTTCGAGCCAGTCTTGTGAGTTCTCCATGATAGCATCTTCGTCACCGAGCAGAATACGATACATGGACCGAAGATTTTGATAGATCGCCCAGGGTACTTTGCTTTCAGCCATGCGTGCGGATTGGGTGAAGGAAATCGTTTGCGCGGGAGCAGCCGCCTTCAGCCCAAAGTTGACAGCTTGGAAGCGGTTTTCTTGAACAGGGGGTTCTGGCGACGCCTTGTCCTCGCCTTCAGCGAAATCCTCCAGGTCTGTTACTGCCGCCAAAACCCGTCTTCTGAACAAAGCCCATTCGGTACCCTTGACATCCCAATCATCGCGCGAGACACCAGGACATGACTCGAGGATTTGAAGAGCCTTGTTGACGCATCGCTGAATATTCTGCAGCTGTGTTCCGCGATATCCCGCCTGTGGTAGGCCATCTTCTAACGCTGATCTTGCGTAGTTGAAATCGGCAGATCGCAAAAGTTCAACGGCTGTCGAGAGGCTACCCCGAAGAACAGCAGCATTGAGCAAGTCCCAGAAGCTTGATGATGCAGTAGGATTGGGTTCAAACGCCTTCAAGACTTGCAACTCCGACGCAGGAGGGATGTGGTTGGCATCGAGCCAGTCAATGAGAAGTCTGGGGATAGGTGTCGGTGATGTTGTGCGAGGACCACCCAGTAATAGATTGCGCGTTGCGAAGGGGTTTACCTGGCCGGGTCGATCAAATGGCCGAGGGGGGTGATGCAGCTGTAGAAGGAGTGAAGCCAAGAAACTTGCTTTGGCGATATTTGAAGCTTGCTCACCCGGCCCAATGCCGTCTGACTCTTGGTAGGGACCATTCTGTCCTGTAGCTATCTTCCACACATTTGCAAGTCGACTGCAAACATCCGAGAGGGCCGCGCGGAAGTCCGTGCCATTATTGTCGGCTTTCTTGACTTCGTCATACATGCGGCAAAGCTCGTCCTCCGTGCTCATAACAAAGTCACTCGACTCATCCACCGTAGTCAGCCGCGAGCAAGCTAAGTTGCGAACTATAGATGGCATTGCCGAGTCTTTCTTCGGTGACAACTTTCCCTTGCGCAGAGGCGCTTGACCCGCCCAACGCTCATCGAGCTTCGGACGCTTGGCGCTGCCTGGGTTTGAGTAGATAGACTTGCGATGACCAAGCGAGACAGGCTGCGGAGCGATGGAGTCTCCGAGCTGAGAATCCAAGAAGCTGAAGCGGCCCCCAGCGTTCTTGTTCGCCTTACCCACACCCAGGCTGCTTCCCGTCTTGTCCACTACCTCATCCTCTGTCTCAGTCAGGATATCGTCTCCCTCTGCATCCATCTGGGAATCCGCAAAGCCATTGGATTGCCCAAAGCGTGTGGATTCGTCAAAGCGAGAGCCATTTGTGATGCTAAACAGGGACTGCGACGCTGCAGAGGATTTCGTTGCGGTTGTTGTCGTTTTCTTGGGTAGGGGTGGCAGGTAATCATTTGACATAATAGATGAGCCGAAGATGCTATCATTGTCATTGAGGTTCATGTGGCCCGACTTCGTGAAGAGGGAGCCGGAGCTCATGCGAGAGCTCCCAAAATCGGAAGGCCCGCCATGCGCCGCAAAGGAGTTGGATGCGGATGGTGGAGCCCCAGCCGGGGTGCTGGATAAACCGTCGAAAGGATCGCGGGATTTACCAGGCGTAGACGGCGGGCTAGACTGGAGGTGGAAATTCCAAGACATTGTGTGCTGATGGGGTGCGAGGACAGGGTCTTTAGGAAACGGTTACTGGGCGGGTGGATAGCGGAATTCACAGGAAAAATAGTTGTTAGAAAAGAGGTTATGATTTAATGGCCCCGATGCGGGGGTTATAGGCCGGCGAAGACGATGAACGATGGGCAAGAATGGATTAGAAGACGCGCAACAAGAGGTGGAGCGATTGTCAAGGCGCAACCAGCAAAATGGCGCCAAAGGAAACACTGAACATCGCCGACTTGCATGTTTCTTGCTCGTCGCTGGAGATGGAGCGAGACGCGCCGACCAAAGCGGTGAGGCCAAAAGTGACCGTCATGTGATAAGTCTGCCTCGGGTGTCATCCACTCCAAGTCTATTCCCGAAATGGATGGCTCGTATTCGGCCATGACGATCTTCTATCTTCAAGGCTGTGAAGAACAGCCGTGTCCCAGTCTTCGAATCTGGATCCAATCAACTGTTCCAATAGCATGTCTGAAATGCACAGCCCAGACCCTGAGCATCCCACCTTGTCAGACCAACTAAGGGAGAGAGACCCTGAGATGCTTTCCATCATTGGCGCGTGGTGGAAACTCACGCCCATCAAGTATAAAGAGCCCATTTTCCGGTTGCCCTCTGGAAATATAATCTTTCGAGCTATGAGTTTCCCGGTATCACACCATCATGGCTTCTAATGCACCCTCGTTTCACTCTGATGCGTCCACCGAGTTTGACCCTGGCTCGGTGGACGCTAAGCTACCAAGTGATGATACTATCACCCGTCGCTACAAGATCTCCAATACAGCATGGCGGCACCATTACAACGTAAAACTTGCAGATGATCAACAAATATACAGGGTGCGCGTGTCCGAGTTTCGACCAAAGAAGCCAGACCTCACCTTCCATGCTGGGATGGATGACTCCGGTCCGATCGTGGCAGTCGCCAAGTTCCAACATTTTTCACGAGGTATTCACATTGGCCTAGGAGATCCTCAATCCCCAAGCGAGATGGTGTGGGAGGATCTTACCGGCCAAAGCAAAAGCCACAGCAAATATCGCTGGGAGATGGAGGTCCCCACGAGCAATGGGCCACAGAGGCAGTCTTTCCTGTGGAAGCGGACACATCATGTCGGCCTCGAGGGTCACACTTGGACACGGCTCAGCAATCGCAACTATAAATTAGTTGACGAGCAAAGCGGCAACATTCTGGCGATGTTCATGAGCAATGTGGCTTCGTACAAGGAAAGTGGCATGCTCCAGCTCTACGTGGATCATGGGCAACAATTCGATCTTATGGTCCTTGCGACAGTCCTTTCCTTGTATGAGAAAGCGAGACGACGGCGACAGAACAGCTCTACCACTGGAGCATGAGTTGACTGTGGTTGTGGGGACTGGTCGGTCCCTGTGGGGGGGTGCAAGGGGCTATCCTAGGCTATCTCTTTAAACACACACTCTGAGATTTTGTGATCTTTTTTGAGATATCTTCGCTCTGGGGAATTGCTACCATCTCAATGTGATATCCATGAAATTGTACAGAAATTGTAGCTAGTTGGGAAATTGAATGGACTGTTCACTGGTAAACTTGCGGTTGATGACATAATGTGGTACAAAATGGCTTCTCCAGCGGGGCTTGACAAGAAATGCTTTCCCGACGGCGTGAAACTTGGACTTTTCAGATGAGAGACCGATGCAATACTTAGTCAAGTCTGCACTCACTCAGGCACTCTCACCCTATGACTTATTCTTGAACTCTTCAGGAGTCAGGCGTGGCCAAAGGAAATGGCACTCCGACGCCCTCATCGCAAGTCACGACACGGCTGCCTCGAATGTAAGCAAAGACGAGTGAAATGCGACGAGCTGCGGCCGGTCTGCTCGAACTGCTCAAAACGCATGTCGTCTTGCAGGTATGACTCTGCGACTTCATTACTCTGGACCAACGATGAGTTGCGGCCTCGCCCTCGGCCGAACAAGTCAGGCTCTGAAGGGCCGCGGGAGTCCGAATCCACCTTTTCAACGACCGCCAATTCGCTCCGCATTCTGGGGAAATTGAACGGCGACGACGAGCCGCAATCAGTCGCGCGTCTCAACCTGAGCGACCTGGAGTTGATGATGCACTGGTGCAACTCAACCTACAAAGCACTTTCCCGGCACGGGATAACAGATGCTATCTGGCAGGCCCGTGTTCCTGAGGAGGCTTTATCCCACCCCTTTCTCATGCACGGCTTGTTGGCCCTGTCGGCGATCCACTTAGCGCGGACGAGAGATGAAGTCAAGCGCGCGGCCTACGTGAGCGTTGCCGTAGCGCATGAGAACCAGGCTCTGGCCTTCTTCCGCGAGCAGTTGAGCGACATCAACGCATCGAATGCCAAAGCCATGTTCGCTTTTGCTAGCGTTGTCGTGGTCTACACTTTTGGCTTTCTTCACCCCTCACATGCCCCCGGAACGGACGATCCGTGGGCGTGCATCAATGGCATCCTGCAGGTATTTACATTGACGCGCGGCGTACAACAGATTCTGAACGAGGCTACGTCGACTATACGAGATAGTGACTGGGGGGCTCTCTTTCAGCTGGATGACTACGATGATGTGCTTCCCGATGATGAGCGGTCCGCTTTGGACCGACTGCACGAGGTGAACCACGTCTGCAAAGGCCAGGATCCGGCTCATGACTCGACCACCTACGAGCATGCAATTGAGAATCTGGCAGACCTGATGGCGGCGGCTCATCAAGGTGTGACCTCTGTAAGGCAGGCCTGCCGGTGGGCGATTAGGCTCAAGGCCGAATTCGTACAGCTGCTTCAGGAACATCAGCCACTGGCGCTTATCATTGTGGCCTATTACTGCGCAATCCTTCATCGGCTTCGGGATATATGGTTTGTGGATGATTGGGGTATCAGGGTTCTCAAGGCTATATGGCAGATTTTGGATGACCAATGGCGACCGTTGCTCGATCTACCCATGGTAGGGACCTTTGGGGATAATTCCCACTGAGCGATCGCCTAGCGAGCAACTTAGCAATTGGCATGAGCGAATCGCCAGAGCCTTGGATATTTAAATCTCTCTTCTACCTCTCAGGGCGTCGTCGAATCTAGTTGGTGTGAGTACAATAGTAGTGATCTCCAATCGACAAATGGAACCTCACAAGGATCGGTCGAACCCCACGGGTACACTGTACCCACGGAAGTGCTACTAGAGGCCCAATCTTTGGATAGGGACGAGTGTGACATTTCAATCAATAATGAACCTTGATGCCCAGAGAGACGAAGCGATCTTCGCCAAAATCAGTTCTTTGCTGCCTATATCTCGGTTACTTCGTTTAGCTCGTATTCATATCCACATTGGGTAATAGCCCTGGTCTACTACTAAAGTACTGTCCTGTCCATCTATACCTCTACAATTTACTATCCGGCTCTCCATTTTCCAACACATACCTGTACCTCGCTCTCCCGGCATCCATATCTCTCAACGCGACGTTCACCTCTTTCATCGGCCGCTTCTCAATCCAAGGCAACACGTTCTTCTGCGCCGCCAACTCCAGCATGGCCCGGATATCCTCGCGCGAACCGATATTCGACCCGGCCAGCTTGATGCCCTTCTGAATGAACGACCAAGCCGGCAACTGGGGCAGAGGTTTCTCGGGGGCACCTACTTGGACGAACGTGCCCCCGACCCGCAGCAGCCTCAGATATCGCGCCAGCGGCATGTCATCCCCGTCCACCGTACAGATAATCAAGTCCAGGGTCCTCTCGTACTTCTTCGCCCAGCCCTCCTCCTCGCCCGTGGCGATGAACGCATCCGCGCCGAGCCCCTCGACCGCATCCTGCCTCTTGGCCGAGGACCGCGAGATGGCGACCACCCGCTCACAGCCCAGGGCCTTCGCAAACAGCACCCCCAGGTGGCCCAGCCCACCGATGCCCACGACGCCGACGTGCTTCCCCGCGCCCGCGCCGTACTTCCTCAGCGGCGTGAAGACGGTCGCCCCCGCGCAGAGCAGCGGCGCCGCATGCGCCGAGGACAACTCCTCGGGGATCCGGAACACGAACTGGGCCGGCCCGCGCCAGGTGCGCGCGAACCCGCCCATGGTCTTGACGGCGGTCTTCTGCTGGAAGGTCGTCGAGTCCCAGAAGCGGTCGTTGTAGGTGCCGGTGATGCGCGGGCAATAGTTCTCCTGGTTCGTGCTGCAGGCGTCGCAGTCGGCGCGCAGGCACGCCAGGATCTGCGCGCCGACGGCCACGCGGTCGCCGATCTGGAAGGCCGAGTATGGCGGCGGGAGGGAGGGCACCGAGGCCCCGAGGCGCGTGATGGTGCCGACAATCTCGTGGCCCACGACGCAGGGGTAGTCGGACGGTCCCCAGCCCGAGCGGAGGGTGTGCACGTCCGTGCCGCAGATCCCGCAGTGGGTGACTTGGATTTCGAGGTCGGTGGGGTCGAAGGGTTTGGCTGTGAAGGTGGTGAAGGTGAGGGGCTCGGTGGGCGAATGCGAGACCCAGCCGTGGAATTGGTCGTCGGGTTGCGGCGGCATCTCGAGAGGGATTGGGTCGGAGACGCGGGGTTTACTTGGGGGAATTGGGGAGGGGGGTTCTGTGCGGAAAATAAAAGAGAATTCAAACACGATGAACAGCACCGTAGTCTTCTTCTTTTGAATTGCTTTAAGAGGAGGGAACGTTCAATCACATACCGCGCAAGGATGAATTGCGGAGATGAAGCGGATTCTCGATGGGGCAAAAGAGCGGAGGGGCCGAGAATGCCGAGGTTCATCCCACCCCCACTCTCTGATGCGACAACTCGACCATCGAGTCTGATATTGCAAGCCTCACAATATACAGTCTGCGTTCCTAGTCTGTCTTTCTGGGTTGCTATACCAGCAGCATCGCTGACTCAAGAGCCATACAATAATGCTCAGGTCAATTGCTACTCCTCATGACGATTACGCTACGTCCCCCGCCGTACGCCGTATATAATGATGCAATAAACCCTCAAAGCACATTGACGACCATGCGGCCTGAAGGTGAAAGAGATAAGGCATGTTTTTCTCTTTGTGTCTGGAGGTTATCAAAGTTAAAAGCTATCTTTCAGCTGCTGCATGATGCGTAGGAGGAGATACAGTATCTCGAAATGAGACTGCTACTCATCAAACCTGGAATGTATTGCGATAGGTCCATATCCTTATGATAGCTGCCGTTCAAATCAATCTCTTCGGATTCAATTTGAAATGAAGTCTCTCGCTATCTGTCTCTCGTACTAATCCTGAACCAGGGACTCCAGTACTAAGCTCAGAACCAACGTGGAGACTATCTACAGTTTGGAAGTGGTAAAAATATGAATCCAAGGGTATAACAACCGATCCTACCACCTTCTCTTCAAACCCCCCTCTCCTTACACCATTTCTCCACCTCCTTGGCCAACTTTTCTCTCTGATCCCTCACCATTCCCATCATCGGCTCGACCTGCTTCATATATGCCTCGGCAGCATACCCGGTTTGACCATCCGGCCCGACAGCCAAATGTCCTTCCTTCTGCGGCGCAAGGTAAGTATCATAGATCGAGATCATCAGGTCCATCACCGCGGATAACTGGTTGGGAAGCCACTACATATCGACCCAGAAGCGTGTTTAGTATATATCTCATGGGGCGAAAGACTGCCCTCAAGGGCGGGAAGAATAACTTACCGTGACGATAGGACTACCACCGGTAGCGGTAGGGTGTGGGGTGCGGCGGATGATATACTCTCGGGCAAAAAGCCAGTGTCTCCATCGGAAGCTCCGAACGTGGTTCAGAGTTTTAAGGAAGAGGATTGCGGTCTCGGTGTCCTGGACGGCGAAGTTGCGAGTGCCGACTTCTTCGGATTTGGAATTCATGTAAGCGAGGAATTCACGGTGGGGTAGGGGGCGGTAGGCACGGAACTCGTGCAGGATCTTGGTGAGCGGGGTGGAGGGCATGGGGATCTGGCAGAGGTGGTCGAGAAGAGGGATCTGTTTGTTGTGGATGGTCAGATTGGCGTCTAGAAGGGGTAGTCTTGAGACGAAATCTTACCATGCTGTCGTTCGCACCGCTCTCGCCGCGGAAGAATAGGGGCTGGTTGTCAAGAACTCCGTCGTAGATGACACCGTTTGGGAACATGGATTGAGAGGTGATTCCGAAGATGAAGACACGGAACGAGAGGTAGTCCTGGGGCTTGGAGTTGGCCCACATGTCTAAATGCGGATTGTTGGTGAGGAGGAGTCTTTGAGCAACAGGAGGGAATGGGGAACGCTTACCTTCCATCGAGGCTTCGATCTTCTCCATGGAAGCTAGGATCTCTCTAAATCCGTCGTTGACCACCGAACGATCACCCTGCTCGACGTTGTCGACCACCTTGAGTGCTCCGCTGATAAGGCCATTGGATTCTTTCACCATGTCCACGTGGGTTAAGATAAAGCCAGCTTCGGAGCTCTTGGGGTCCAGACCCTTCTCGAAGGCGCGGACAAGACGCAAGTTTGGATAGTCCAGACCTTTAGAGGGGTCTGCGAGGGTGTAGTTAAATAGTGAGTATGCAGCAGCATAGGACATGAAAGGAGGAATGTTGAGGCTGGCATCAAATTAGTATAGACGGTCAAAGCTCAGTAGATTAAGCGTCGACTCACATCTTGGCGCAATGATACATTGGACGAGCCACAGATTTGGGCAGAATATCCCGTCCGAGTCCATAACCCTGGTCGGGGTTATTACACCAGTTCTCCCAGCATGGCTCAAGAAGATACGACGAGGCGAGGAAAGAATAGTCACGGAATGCAGCGGTGATCATGTAGAGATCCGGTGCACCATCAGGCGTGACCAGCTTATCGATCTGCTCGGTCAGATCAGGAAGCTCGGCCAGAACAGCCGGGCCTAGCTCATATGTCGCAAGGAGACCTGGAGTACCATCCTCCTTAACAACAGGGAGACGCTCAAGCAGTGACATCAAAGGCTGGAAGACAGATGAGAGCTTGATGGGAGAGATAAGAAAGGGCAGGAAGCCGGTAGAGGTGGTGATAGTGAAGGGGTCCAAGGACCGAGGAAGGGTGGAAGGATCATCATGGATATGAGGGAAGCGATCCAAGGTACTGTTCGGGAGGGGAACCCTAGATGGAGACATGGTGAAGTTATCTATAGATAAGGGAATGAATAGAGGTATGATGGGATGCTGCGAGGCGGTGAGAGGGTGCGAGAAGATACGAGAGAGTCTAAGGTCTCGAGTAAAAGGATGAAGAGGAGAGAGCAGAAGAGACAGAAAAGGAAGAAGGAGAAGAATAGGAGGCAGCCAGGTGAATGTGGAATAGGGAACCAAGTAAATGAGCAAGAAGAAAACACAGAAAGTTAAAACCTTGCTCTTTAGCTAGTGAACTCGGAGTTCTTGTGCCTGGGAATTGGGCGGGATTGCAGGCGATTCTTATAATGCTTTGAGGCCGGTATCAATTCCGGCCTCGACAGCGCCAGTACGAAACAGGTAGGGAAACTGCGTGGAGACCTTAGTCTCAATCACAATAACAAGGTAGCACTAGATATGGGCATCTGAGAAGTATTATATGACAATTTGTACGAGTCTCTATGCCTATTTACTTTCCCCTGGGTCAATACATCAGTGAAGACGCCTGCTCGACGACTCTATACAAACTCTTGGCAGATAAGGGCACGCAGGGATCACGAGGACAGACTATTCCTTTTCCAGCATTGTATACCAATGTGTTCAGCTGTCTATCCTCAGCTGTGGCTGGTGCGGGAGAACTGATACATTGCTACTGACTGTTTCTAGCATATATTTGACTGTATCCTACACAATCTTCGCTCCAATTTGCCGGTTTGAAGGACGTGGAGTCCCAAACTCACAATCACCTACATCATGACCTTGACTATACTTCACCAATTGCCAAGGCTTCAGTCATGGGGTCCTCGCCGCCATTGGTCACATCAGCCGGATTTGGGCAGATTAGCCTTTCGTAGTTGCATGAGGCCGGAATTGAGCCGGCCTCCGGTTGTAGCCGGCCTTCTTTATATCAGCGGCCTATCTTTCGATTCATGGGGCATCTCGGAAGAACCACCAACCCGAGCAAAAATGGGTTCAATTTCTTCAAAGAACTGATAAGGACTAACTTATAGTTCGTGCTTCAACATATCATTCCTCTTCGTAATATATTGTCGTCTCGCAAACATTACCACACAGCCACCCATGCTTTCCGTCTGTCGCATAAGGTCACGGCCCAACGGCCAGGCTGCTCACCACCTACCGCGCCCATATCGATAGTTCTGCTGAGATAGCTTCACGTAGTCGTTTTCATCACTCATTCATGTCCTCCATAGCATTGATGCTATGTGAATCATAATCTAGCAACATGCTAGTTACATAGCAGCGTGAGCTTGCCATTTAGAGTGCCCTCAATTCTACTCATCAGCGTCTGTCTCCGCAAGGATAGGAGTGTATGTTCTTGTCTATTGTACATGGGTATATTTTATAGCCGGGAAGCTGTCATTCTGGTGAGGTTGAAAGCCATGGCTAAGATGTTGGATTAGAGATGATTTCTTCTGTAATTGGCGAAACCATACCAACGCCCGAGCCTTCACGTCACACGCCGTCAACCAGCAGAGGAAGTGTTGCCTCAGGACCCTTGTCCTTGTCCTTGACTTCTTTGCGTTCCGCTCGGTTCGTCTAAGCTTGGTGAGACTTTTTGGAGTTTCCGGTATTCCTCTTCAAGAGCCCTTTGCATCTCGAAGTCAGCCTGTCGTTCCTGTCGAATGCGCTGTTTTTCCATGTCAAGTTCAACCGCCTTGTGCATTGACTAGAGGCCGAGTAATTGAGAAGTTAGCATCTTACTGGGTAAATGGGGGTCAAAGTATTAACGGACCGCCTTCTCTTGTTCTTGTGCCCAGTGCACAAAGTAGACAATTCCAGCTGTGCCTAGGCCTGTGGCGGCCAATGTCAATTTGGAAGCCCGAGACATGTCCGCTGGTAATGTATTGAATATTTAGAAATGTCGCAAAAGAAGAGGTGGCGAAACTCCCGATCAAGAGGCTAAGTCAATCATGATCCCAGTCTCGTGTCGGCGATAATCGACGATGGCGGTGTTTCGTGGCAGAATCCCCGACCGCCCACGGGGGTAATGCGTGGCGTCGGGGAGATCGGACGGCGTATCACAAGCTCCACAACTCCACCTTATCAAGATATCGCCTTCAACTCAAATCGTATCCCTTCAAGCATATTCTCGCGTCCCAGAGGACTTACTTACAAGATGGTGAGCGCTAGGAGGCGAGTCTGTTTTTGAAGGAAAGGCGCTAACGCTGTCCCCGATAGTCCGCTCAGAACTCCGCAGGCATTCAGACCCTCCTCGATGTAGGTCATTCCGACTCTGTTCCTACGAAGAAATACAATTGACATCAGAATTAAGGCCGAGAGAGAGGCCCAGAAGATTGTCCAGCAAGGTAAAGCTCATCTATGCTACTACCGGATACCATGACTGTATGCTGACGTGTCGCATCTTACAGCTAGAGAATGTACTGTCCCGGCCCCTCACCAATGTTACCGGCTCTCTCATTGACACGTTCTATTCAGACCGTACCAAGCGGATAAGAGACGCAAAGGCTGAAGCCCAGAAGGAGATCGAAGAGTATCGCAAGCAGAAGGAGGACGAATTCAAGAAGTTCGAGGCTGAGGTATTTATGGCATTACAGTGGCTCCTCGATCTAGGGGTAGCTCGCAATCACTGTTCAAGAAACGAGCTAACGCTTTCGTGCTTGCTGTAGCACTCGAGCGGGTACAAGAAGGCCGAGGAGGATGCGAACAAAGAGGCAGAAGTCAAGCTCCAGGAGATCAAGGATGCCGGGAACGACAAGGGCAGCAAGGTGGTGGAGGATCTTATCCATGCACTCATCGACGTAAAGCCTGAGGCTTCGGAGAAAATCGTGGTCAAGGCATAGATCTGTTGTTTCCTGCAGCAGCGTGAGGGTTCATCAATTTTGGGTTCTTTATTTCCAGCCTGTGAATATTATTTAGCTGTTTGATCATACAACTGCTCATATGTACGGAGTGCATCCTTTCTAGATTGTCTGCAGCTAGTGGAGGGGTGGGCAATGTCCTTCAGTAATGTGGGGATGCCATGCCTGCTTGGTGCATGCGTGAGACCCCTTACCGTTGAGATCCTTTGCTTTCCATCTGACATTTGTCGAGGGAAAGGGGGTATCAAACAGGATTTATCCCATTAATAAAAGCAAGAGGTTGTTACAAGGAGTATTAACAGCTCTAGGGGATTTTCAGTGCATGTTAATCACTCAAAATATATCTTGAGGTACAGTGCACAGTATGCTCGGGCATATTCATGCCTCAGGCATGGAAAGACCCGAATAGGCATTTGTTGCGTCATAAGTTCCTCCTCGGCGCGAGGCCACCCGTGATGCTGGTTTGTATACTTTCGCTTTTCCTCCCAGATCCATTTGCATGGAGAGCACGCAGGGTATAATACAAAATGAGATCTGCTGTCGCTCAATTGCGCACAGTAAGAAGTCTCTCCCTTTGCCACAAGAGGACTGTCTTCCGGTACAACAATTTGAGGCGCTGTCGCAGCTCACGCGGGTTTCGTTCCTCTACGCATACAGCGTCCGATGTTCTTGATCCACGTTTGGAAGACCTGGGCAAAGTCATCAGAGATGAGTATGCTGCTATCAAAGATCAATATGGTGAGTCGGATGGCATTTAGTAGACCCAATCATGGCAGATCCTTACAGAGTTGTCAGCGTGTGGAAATTGACCTGATATTCACCAGATGCCCCGAAGCACCCTGTCGTGCTTGCGCATGGGCTTCTCGGGTTTGACACGCTTCGCCTTGCCGGCCCTTATCTCCCCGGTGTTCAATACTGGCGTGGGATCGAGGATGCACTATCGATGAAGGGGGTACAGGTCATCACTGCAACAGTACCTCCATCGGCGTCCATTGAAATGCGCGCCGAAGAATTGGCAAAAGACATCGTCGCCGGGGCACGTGGCAAGGAAGTGAATATCATCGCGTAGGCTCTCTATTTTCCAAGATTGACTTTATTTCTTTGATATCAGATCTAATATTGAACAGTCATAGTATGGTAAGCCTGGTCGCCCCAATCACCGTCATCGGAACTCTTTGTTTACATTGCTGTACAGGGGTAGGTAATTTGAATGCATCTAAGCGTCCGTTACGATCATATCCTGATTGACGACGAAGAGGCCTTGATTCACGATATATGATTACACATCTCAGACCAACGGACTTCAAAATCAAATCCTTGACTACTATAGCCACGCCCCATAGAGGTATGTATGAGATAACAAAGTAATCATCTTACTAACTAGCTTGGCAGGCTCTGCAGTCGCAGACTATGTGCTCAAGCAGATTGGCGGTGTGTTAACTCACTGCCCCGGCAGAAGAAGAAGAAGCTGAAACTCATGACTCACAGATGACCGCTTGGCTCAGCTGTACTATGCGCTTGAGAGACTAGGAATAGATACAGGGGCATTCGCTCAACTGACCCGCGACTACATGCAAAACACCTTCAATCCTATTACTCCAGATGTGGAGGATGTTCGGTAGGTGGTCTGCCCTGTGAGTGGTGTCGCGAGACTGAGTTCTTGCAGGTATTTCTCCTATGGAGCATCGATGCAGCCAAGCTTCTGGTCTGTCTTCCGCCTATCGCATCGCCTCTTACAGCAGGTCGAAGGGTACAATGACGGACTTGTCAGCGTTGCGAGCAGCAAGTGGGGAGGAGAAGGGGGCTACAAGGGCACCCTAGAAGGGGTGAGCCACCTGGACCTGATCAACTGGACCAACCGATTAAAATGGTTGGCCGGTGAAATAACGGGCAACAGGTTAAGGTATGTTGAATGAGTTAGCGATGCGAAGATGGACTTCTTCTCTCGCTTTGCCTGTTCTTATGCTCCTGCTGGACATCGGCTGATGCTCTGCGTAGATTCAACGCAATTGCTTTTTATCTTGATATTGCAGGTACGACAAAGAGGCCCTGGCGTCACGCCACACCCAGCCTTGTCGAACCATTGCGGAGAGTCTGACTAATGAGATCATTATTCTAGACATGCTTGCGAGGGAGGGTCTCTGATGATGGCGCGGTGCAGTAACCTCTGTTTGAAATCTTGGTGCCTAGAGTGCATTGGGCTAGTTATTTTTTGTTCTGTGATTTGACAGCATACCTATATTCCCAGCGATACCCCTTGAGGACACTGCTTTAGATTCTAGGTGTGGAATGCGATACTTGTGACGTGCAGTGCCGTCTATGACAGATTGTAGACTCGTGTTCGATTGGCAGAGAGAAGACCAACAAAGGTGGCGGTGCACCCAGTCGGACTGGGCGGAGTGGCTGAGTCCCACCCACTGCACTCGGCTCGGCGCATCCAGACTCGGGCAGCCAGCCAAGCCAGCCCTGTGAGAACAATTACTTACTCGTCGACCCCACGGGAGCAGTTCTGCTTCCCCTGGGCTTAACGTCATATCCTGTAACGTTAAGTGACTGTAGTTCTGCCGAACTCCCGTGCTTCTTTTTTCTTCCCCCCCCCCCACCCCCCCCCCCCCTTTGTCCATTATTATCTCTCCGCCTGCGTGATTTTGATTATCTAGACGTATATGCAGCCAGTTCAACTGGTGCTTGCTCTTGTCTAGACTTTGCATCAATCGTAAAAACGGTCTTGGTGAAGAGTGATTGTGCGTCTCAGGTGCCGGCCATCCTCATCCTCATCCGTACATTTACGGCTTACGCACGGTTCGCCATGTCCGTAACAATCCACCTGGACCGGCCTCACAAGCACTTCACTAACCTCGACGTTCTCGTTGGGAAAGTGGTGCTCACTCTACCCTCCGAAGCTGCTATAGGAGGGATACAAGTGAAGCTTGAGGGCGAGAGTCGTACACGTCTTGCAGGTCCGCGATATCCGCATCATGAGCAGTCGGACAAAAAGCGGACAGAGATCGAGGTTCACAAGGTGCGTCACTCCACAGTTTCCCCAACCCCACCTTGTAGATCACTCACTGGCAAGGGCCAGGTGGAATGTCAAGCTGTTACTAAGAACCCTTACAGCTCCTGTATAAGGTTGCTACCGTCTTTCCCACCCCCGAAGTTTTCAACTCGAAGACCCCCGAAAGGGTCTATACGTTCGCCAAAGGGACCTACGAATATCCGTTCAAGTTCAAGGTAATTTCGAAATTGTTTTCTCTGCCATGTTCAGCGTAGACTGATTTCGGATCCTAGTTCCCGTTCAACAATGCCTGCAATTTCCAAAATAGCATGCTCACCAACCTCAACATCACCGGCCTCAAGGTGGAGGTGGCGAAGGATACTCATCGCCATGTGAAGAAAACGCTTCCACCGTCTCTCAGTGGGTTTCCCGGAATGGCCGATATCAAGTACTACGTGAAAGCCACGGTCATCCGTCCACAATTCTACAAGGAGAATATCAGAGGGGTATGTTTTCCCTCTTGTCCGCTGTGACCCCTTCTTGTCTCGATTGCATGAGACTAACGGCCGCTGTAAGATCACCAACCTGAATTTTCTACCAATCGAGCCCCCGCGAACAGGGAATCCAAGCGAAGAGACGTACGCCAGACGCCAACATCAATTCTCGGATCTCCCTCCCGTCTCCAAGAAGAAAGGTCTTTTTCAGAAAATGTCAAGCAGTTCTCTCCGAGAAAGCGCCAGCAACGGTCCTCGTGTGTCCGCAGATTTGAGATTACCCAACCCTTCGATACTCACCTGTAATGAACCTATACCGATGCGAATCATTGTCAAGAAATTGTCTGAATCATACGAAACCATCTTCTTGCAGATGTTACAAGTTGAACTAATTTCATATACACACATTCTCGCCCATGACCTCAAGCGGACAGAGAGTGGCACCTGGGTCATGTTGAGCTGCAGCAACATGGCTATACCTCTAGGAAGAGGGGGAGACCCTGCTGAGACCGAATGGACCTTGGATGCTAACATGTGGAACCGCATACCGCTTCCCAGCACTGTAGCTCCATCATTTGAAACGTGCAATGTCTCCAGAACCTACGAACTTGAAGTTCGTGTGGGTCTCACGCATGGATCAGTCGGAAACATGAAAGTATGTTTGCCTTCTCAGCTCTTCATTTCTAGAGACGACTGCTCACTGCTAGTAGCCTCAGCTTATCGTACTTCCGTTGCGCATTCCTGTCAAAGTCTTCTCCGGCATTGCACCTCCACAAGCACTCTTGGAAGCCATAGCTGCAAATGGGAACGTTAAGCCGACTGTGTCCACCTCAACCCGACCTTCAGGTGATGGTCTGCCTCCACCAATGCCTCCTCGGCCCACCCGGCCACCCGCGCCTAGCAACCCAGAAGATGGCTACGACGATGCACCTCCGAGCTACGAAGACGCGATGGCTGATACTCTCAGCCCAATTGATGGCCCTCGTAGAGAGTATAACCCACCAAGCGCCTCCTCCGAAAGATCGTTTGAATCTGGCGCTGATGCAAGATCTCCAGTTGGAAAGGCACCTGAGGCATCGGCACTGTACGGCAATGAGGGGGCCAATTCCTCTGCGGAAACCCTCGATATGCTGCCTTCAACCCCTCCAGAGTCCCGGTCTGGATCACCCGTCTCTCTTGTTTCCCGCCAGCAAAGCGTACTCAAAATACACAAGGCCATTCCTCTAGAGGAGAGCCCTCCGCAATACCAGGCAACAGCGGACAGTCAACCCCAGACATCTAGCAGCCAGGCCGATCACAGACCATTCCGACCAGAGCACCGCACCATGAATCTGGGAGTACCTAATCGGAAGCCAGTTCCTCGTAGTCCAAATCGGGATGTCTAAGGTCCAGTGTGGCTCTACTCCCAACAAGAGTATCATGCTATCATGTCTCTTCAATCGATCTCGGGGTCATTCTTGACTCTTTGAAAATAACTTTTGAGCTCGCAGGATGAATTCAGTCCACTACGTATCTCTAATACTCAGCGATTACACTCTGTTTGCAGCTTCTCTGGTGCCAATTCTCTGAACGTGCAACCAACACATACTACCTGCTATACATTGGAAGCTATGCAATGCAAATACCCCCTATTTTTTACAAGCATAGATATGTATTTCTGTATAAAAGACTCAAAAATACAATTCTGTAAGACCAGTGTTGGTAGAGTACTAGTAGCAGTAGTACTGTTTGGTGTTGCGAACCGTGGGTGGCCGACTACGCGGACCAAAGAGGCTTAGCGGGAAACAGAAGCTTTGGCACTGCATCGGTCACCGTTCGGTCTTTCCTTCCCCGTGCTTTTCGTCGGTTTCCGCGCTGCACTCTCAACATTTCATCATGACTGTTTTCACCTGTCAATAATATGTCCTTCTCTCCTGCGCGTACGGTTCTCTGAGTGTTCTTGACTTTGAATGGATAGACGATCCGTGCTCCATCTCAAAGGTGTTAATAGCAATTGAGCTCCTTACCCAAAACTGCTCAACCGAGCAACGCCCTGCGGCAATCATATCGAATCTAATTCATCTCAACCGCCTCAGCAAAGTCCTATACTAATGAGCTGCCCCTGGTCGCATTGATTTGGAAGTAGCAGCGGAATTCTCTAGCATTCCATTATGCGTCTCCACTTAACAATCCAGCGTCACGGCTTGCCCGTGACGCGCATTCTTTGGACGACGTCTCCTCACTCTCTATTCGGTCCCAATGCGTCGAATGGCTCGCCCATGATTCCCGCTGCTGCGTCTGCAATCACTTCGCCGCGTTTACCTAATGCGCTATACTCAAATGGTGGATACACGTTTGCACAGCTGCTGGAGGATGTGAACGAGGTGATTCCGTTGGAGACGGAATCGGTCCAGTTTGACGAAGAGTGCAGTGGACAGTGGGGTCTTGAAGATTATGTGGTTGAAGTGGGTGGCTCAGAGTGCCTACATTTTATGGAGGTGGACGGCCTATTGCGCGACGGCGATGAGGTCCTGTATGTGCTATCCCATCCATGTTGACCCTCTCATGGCTTCAACTATGTAACCACTAACCGACGCGTCCTTACATGATAGAATCCGTGCGCTACAGATTGAAGATCTTCGGGCCAGGCGGCTTTCCGGTCGCCATCAGATCTCCGGAGATGGCAAACACCTCATCGATGGCGTTCCCTTCGGAAAGCCTTTCCTAAAAAGACCTACTTCGTCCAGGCCTGCAATCACGATTCCACCTAGGAAAAAACGACGGACTACAATCGCAGGGTGGGATTACGGGGTACGCTACGATGATGATGCGGATTGGGAACCACCCAAGCGGCTTCTTTCCAACGTGGAAGTCGATGCACTCAGGAACAGTGGTAATTCCGAAGGGGAAAAGGCGGAAGGGCATGGAACTACATTTCAGGATGACTTCCAGGATTATCATGAACCTGAGGATGATGATGATGGAACAATCATCCGCCACCCCGTGGACCAGGAACCAGAGAGTGATTCTGACATGTCTGATACCCGAGAGGGCGAACTTGAGGAGGAGTTGAAGGCTCTCGCAGAGGATTCAGAAGCCCCTCCCATCACCAAACCTGAAGACCAGGTCAAGCAACAGACTGAGTCTGCGCCCCGTGCTCTCCGCTCCGGGCCTAGGACGCCCTCGACAATTCCGAAAAGAGATGCACCTAAGTTTATTCAAAGTACCTCAACCCCGGCTGACTCACGGACGGATGCTAAGGTGGTTCAATTTGAGGACGAGAAGCCAGCCTTGAAGCCCGAAAGCATACTTGTGAGCAAGGCGAAGTCACCTTCCGTGAGTTCGGCTGGCTCTGTCGCAGACGACAGTGACAGCAGCTCACTCTCGACCGACTCTAGTGGTGTGAGTGACACCAGCTCGGATCAAGACTCGTCTTCGGAATCAGGTCATTCGCTATCGGGCTCAGATGACTCAGATGATTCAGATGATTCAGATGATGAGTCTACTTCGGAGTCTGATGATTCAAGCGCATCAGAATCGGAAGACGAGAATATTTCCGACTCAGACACTAGCGTTGAGGCCCCCATCAAAAATGCTCCGCCCGGAGCAGGATCGTTGCGGACCAAAAAGAGTAATCAACGTAACAAGATGCGTCGCCGACTGGCAAAGCTCAAAGAACTTGGTGCTTTACCCGCGCAAGCTGATTTCGCGGCCCTGCGGGAATGGGAGGATGTGCATGGGTGCGAGTATTATATCCCCGAAACCAAGCCTGAGCCCAAATCCGAAACCAAATCCGGAGCCAAAGCTGAAGTCAACTCTGAAACCCGAGGCGACAAGAAGGAGCAAGAACGCGCAGAATTTGAAGCAAGACGCCAGAAACTGCTCCAGGATCTGGCAGCTGGCGGCGTCGACGTGTCAGTCACTCCAGAGACGGAGAATGTGCCGCCCCATGATGAGAACAAGCGGAAAAGACGTTCTGCAAGGGACGTCTCTGTGAATGGTAACACAGACAGTGATTCATCTAAGAGGCGTACTTTGGATGTTGCTAGCTCTCGGCGAATGCTGTTTGGCTCTCTTGGAGTGAGAGCTCCGCGCAACAAGGAAGACGAAGATGCGACGCGGAGGAAGCTTGCTGCAAACATCACCCATATTCCATCTCGCAAGTCTGTAAGCCAAGACGCAGAGACTGGGCATGAAAGTGACTTGGAGCATAACTGGGAGGAAAGGTTGACCATCAGAGCTACCGAATGTATTTACAACGATGTTGAGCTGACGGCGCCACCTTTCCCATTCGAGCAGCGCTGGGATCACGATGCCAGCAACATTATCAGGCAACGCAAAGGCCGGGGCAAGAAGAGGAAGCGGCGCCAACAGCTTCAAGTCTACGACGCGGGGGAGGAAGAATATGGCAATTGGGAGGATAGTTACTTTGACGGAGATGACCAGCTCAATTATGATGACACGGAGCAGCTTAATGGGGAGCACCAAGCAGAATATGAGGCTGAGGAGCCAGCTGAGGATCTGCCTGTCCTGCCCGCTAATCACCTCACCCTTCCAGATCTCTCCGAGGATCACCTACAGCGGGCATCTGTAATTGCTTTCAAGCAATTGGACCTCTCTAAAGCCACAAACTGGCAGCCCACCGTGTCTGAGTATCGGGTGGCTGAGATAAACGATGTTTACGAGGACAATATTCTCAAGATCAGGCTCGCCAAGCGTGACAGAAGGCAAATCGCCGATGTCGACCCGGATGAGGTGGGAAACGATAAACCATATTACACCGGATTTGAAATGCCTGGTCTCGAAGATGATGCGGCGGAGGACGATGGCTTCCGCGAGCTTTCCTTTGCCGACTTCATTGAACCCAAGCTTCTCCGAGCTGCGCCCGCTGCAGGAACTGGGGATGCTGAGAAACCCAGCATGTCAGTACATTAATTTCCTTCACTCCTCTGGCGTATTGAAGCGCTCACCCGACCAAGCTCCCACGCAGCCGAGGAGTCCACCACGCCGAAGATCACGACACCGGCTCGAATTGAGGCCACGGCCGCGCGCGATGGCGACGAAGATGGTCAGCGACCAGCCCCCGCTGCGGGAGATAAGCCGGCTGACTCGGGACCTAATAAGCCTATCCTCCAGGAGACCGTAAATTCCTCGAAGAGTCTTGCAGGCGATTCCAGCCCCGTTCTGTCCCCCCAGTTTCACGGATTCCAGTCCCCACCCCCAACCGGTTGCGCGAAAAAGGCCTCGGGCTCGGCATCCAACCTCATCGCCGACGCCGAACCAATCCCCGATGGCGGTGCTGACCGTCAACCCGACGTGCTTCTGCCTCCTGACAAGAACTCTCCCAATACTCTGGACTCCCCGCAGCGCCCTGACGGCGTCAACCTCGGTCACGCTGCAGATGCGTCTAATGACGATCTCCAGATGATCAGTAGCCCGCTCAGTGTGTTGTCCTTCAATCAGCTGATGAACCGGTATTTCCCAGCCAAGCGGGAGAGGAGTGATACTCCACCTTCCAACCAGCAAGCCCAGGGAGAAGAGGCCCGCCCGTCCTCACGTTCGTCGACCAGTAGCATGGTTCCGAACCCGTTTTCTGAGATTGACAGAGCTCGAGAAGAAGGTCAGCAGGAGCTCTCGTCGCAGCCATCGAAAGGCATTGGGGTTACTGCGGGTGATACCACACTAGATCTCCAATCTTTGGTGGGATCGTCTTCCACGCCACCATCAGGCCAACGATCCGTGCAGAAGAATTCGAAGTGGAAGGGCACGGAGGACTCATCCCTGATTAGTGTTGTTCCCGAGAGCATGATTCCACCGGTGGTGCCTCAACCCAACTCCCCAGGAACCCCAGGATCTGAGCCCATTGTGGTGGATCTGACACAGTCCAGCCCCCCGGTGTCGCCCGGGGGCAGTGACAGGGACTTCGGCCGATCGCAGCGGCTGCCGCAAGGACCTGGGTGGGTGCAGAAACACGTACCTCCCACGCAACGCCGTACCCGACAGTCGCTGGCCAGGCTGCGGGGGAAGTCGCGGGAGGGATTAGGCTTGGAGTCGAACCCATCGCGTTGAAGACGGGGAGAGCACGGTAGCGAAGATGTGATGCAAGAGGCAAGCAGATGGCCAGAGGGTGGTGCATTCATGCTTGACTGACAATGGAATGAAAGAGTAGAATAATGGGCGTCATGATTGATTTTTTTCCCATACTTTCCCTTAAAATATGTACATACATACATACGTACATACATACATACATACATACATACATACCTACCTACCTACCTACCTACCTACCTACCTACCTACATAAATACACCAGTGTGATACATATTCTAATGCTTGGTCCTTCTTCTCAAGACGAATGTTTGGCACAAGCTCGAGTGTATGAGGTAACCCTACAGTCGAGGCACTCAGGCACTCGCTCAGGCAACGAGACTGTGGGGAAGCTCCGAAGTCTGACAACGTCTAGGAGCTGATTGGCGGAGGAGTGGGGCATGGCTGGCGACGTCATCGAGCTGGGATTCCCAATAGGGAAAGCACGATGGATCGTGCACTGGCACTCACTGGCACTGCACAGGGCACTGCATGGATGGAGTGCAGGCCATCCGCCTTGATCGTTCCTTCCTTCCTCAGCTTCATCCGTCGGATTCTTTTTTCTGACGGAAGTTGAATTTCTTGTTGACCGGGCTTCAATTTCATCATTCTTCCGCCATCATCCGATCTGGACCTGGTCGAATAACATTATCATCTCGATAGAATACAAGCAAGTCACAAATACATCAATGCTGCATCAACCTGCTTTTTTTACTCTAAACATTATAGTACTATAAATGTTCAAGTCAGTTGACAACTAACTTAATTTACTTCCTCTTCCCCTCCCCCTCCAATTAATCAATCATCATCACCCAATGCGTCTTCCCCTCCTTGTGGCTCGTTCTCCCACCATCACCTCCTCTTCCTCCTTCTCCATCCTCCGCCATACGAATCTAGCTCAACTTCCATCCACTGCTGCTCCTGCTCATCGCCGTTATTTGACTATCTTATCTTCCCCTTCTTCTTCTTCTTCTTCTTCTTCTTCTTCTTCTTCTCACCGTCCTACAACACTCTGTCGCTGCGGTTGCCGTAACATCACTTCCTGTCGCTGCCACTGCTGTGCTCATTCTTCTCCAGCCTCTGCCCGCAATATTCCAGCTAATTCCCACCTGTGCTCCTCTTCTTCTCCTTTGACCGCTCCGCTTGTTCGCTCATTCTCAACCACTAGACCCGCCAAGATGGTCAAGCAATATAAGCTCAAGAACGTCTCGTCCTTCGCGGATGTCAAGGAACTGGACAAGGTTGAATGTGAGGTCGAAGGCATCGAGGAGGGCAAGGTGCTCCTGGTTCGTCATGATGGCCAGGTTCATGCTATGACCCCCAAATGTACCCATTACGGTGCACCCTTGAAACTCGGTGTGGTGGCCCCGGAGGGCCGCATCACTTGCCCCTGGCACGGAGGTAAGCTCGTTTGGCCCTCAGTGTCTGGACTCTCGTCGTTAATCCTCACTCATAGCCTGCTTCAATGTCGTCACTGGTGATGTCGAGGATGCTCCGGCCCCGAATGCCCTCAAGAAATTCGAGGTCTTTGAACAGAATGGTGGAGTTTACATCAACGCAGAGGAGTCCGACATCAAGGCTGCTCAGCGGGATCCTGCAATGAAGTGTAAATCATCTGACTCGGAGAGGCTGGTCGTCGTTGGCGGGTATGTGATCTCCGATGCGAGTACAAAGACGGATACTAATGCAGGGTGCGAGCGACAGTGGAAGTGGTACTTTCGGTGTGGCCCAGGCGATCCGTGAACTGAAGTATACTGGTGCCGTGACTGTGATCAGTCGGGAACCCAATCTCATTATTGATCGGACCAAGCTGTCCAAGGCGTTGATCGCGGACCCCGAGAAGATTCAGTGGCGACCCGAGGAGTGGTACAAGGAGGCCTCCATTGAATTTGCCCACGATGACGTGACTGGTGTCGACTTCGCAAAGAAGACAGTTTCCACCAAGTCGGGCAAGTCGTACCCTTACACCAAACTAGTCCTGGCTACGGGAGGCGTGCCGCGCACGCTTCCCTTGGAAGGATTCAAGGATCTGGGTAACATCTTCGTGCTTCGCACTATTCCCGATGTGCAGGCTATTCACCAGGCGCTGGGCGAGCAGAAGAACAAAAAGGTTGTCGTCATCGGCAGCTCTTTCATTGGTATGGAGGTGGGCAACTGCCTCGCGAAAGAAAACGAAGTCACCATCGTCGGGATGGAGAAAGCCCCCATGGAGCGGGTTATGGGTGAACAGGTTGGCCGCATATTCCAAAAGAATCTGGAGAAAGCAGGTGTCAAGTTCAAGCTGGACGTGGGCGTCTCTAAAGCGACACCCTCGAGCTCTGACTCTAGCAAGGTTGGGGCGGTTCATCTCGATGATGGCACCGAGCTGCAAGCCGATCTGGTAATCCTCGGTGTTGGCGTGCGTCCCGCGACCGACTTCCTCAATGACAACCCAGCGATCACTCTCGAGAAGGATGGATCTATCAAGACAGACGAGCACTTCGCCGTCAAGGGACTGAACAACGACGTCTTTGCCATTGGCGATATCGCCACCTACCCATACCACGGACCCGGTGCTGACCAGGAGAACGGCAGCTACACCCGGATCGAGCACTGGAATGTAGCTCAGAACGCCGGTCGTGGCGTAGCCCGTGCCATCGTTCACAGCCTGAAAGCTGGGTCACTGCAGTCCCTGAAGCCTAAGGCATTCATTCCGATCTTCTGGAGTGCTCTGGGCGCTCAGTTGCGGTACTGCGGTAGCACAGTGAACGGGTGGGACGATTTGATCCTGCAGGGAGAGCCGGAGAACGGGAAATTCGCGGCCTACTACACCAAGGGAGAGACGGTAGTGGCCGTGGCGACGATGGGCATGGATCCGATCATGGTCAAGTGTGCGGAATTGATGCGGCGGAAGAATATGCCGACCAAGTCGCAGATCCAGGGTGGGGCGGACGTCTTGGCTGTCGATGTTCCTTCTTCAGTGAGAATTTAAAGATTGAATTGAGTACTTATAGTCAATAGTCTAATAATACCAGCTCTTGTACAAGGAGACAATTTATAGGAGGCTTGAGTAATGGCGATCTTTGAGATATGCTGGAACCCCTGCAACTCTGGTTAAGCCGGAGAACTAGTACTGTCGAAGATATATATCAATGTAGAGCGCATGGGGGGCATTCTCATACAACCAGAGGCCCCATTTGTCCATGCGATTTTGGCTATACCGAAGGGATTTCAAACCTGAAATCTACTGGACGACTAAGAAAATCCACCGACGGGCTTTGAGCCCTACACCGTTCCTCGAGTCACCTACCACCAACACACGATCCGCAGCAAGCGATTGATTCCAAACTGATCAAAAAAAAACGTAATTTTGATTCATCCATCTAACGCCGGGCAAGAGATACAGCAAAGGTGAGCATCAAGGCAAGCAGATGAGATGTATAACGTGAACAGAGAAAGCAAACAGAAAAAGAAACAGACCACAATATTAACATGATTCCATCTCTGGCCCGTTGGGAGCCAAAGGGAAGCGGTGCGCTTGCATATGGCGCTGAGCTCGGATTCGACTCCTTCGTTTTTTCTTTCTACCACGAATTATGCTGCAGCCCCTCGTTGGATACACCCACTCACACACACACACATGCAAAGGGGAAGCAAACGGGATGACAATCATTGAGTGAAGTCACCTAGTCCTTGGACTTCTTCTCCTTCTTCTCTTTCTTTTCCTTTTTAACGGAGGAGGAGGAGGACTTGCTCTTCTTCTCCTTCTTGGGCTTGGTTTTTGTGGGTGTAGCAGCAGTATCTTCGGCCTTTTTGGCATCATCGTCGACGACGACGACGACGTCGTCGTCCCGGAGCTCATCCACCCGATCCGCGGGAGCGGTGCTGAGCGGGACGGTGAACGAGACCGAGGGCGGCGCGTCGACGCTCGCCTGGCGGCGCGGGGTGCCCATGCCACTACCGCCCAGCCCGGTGGAGAGGATCCCGTTCCGCTCGTCCTCCAGCACCCGCGCTTCCTCCTCGGGACTGAGTATCGTGCCCTCGATGCTGATGAACGCCCGGTCCCGTTCCGAGCCCGGGATCACGTCGATGTCGACCACCCGGAACTTGATCGTGCCACGCACGCGGTGGCCCGACACCGACTGGAAGTAGCCCTCTGCCCCGTCATCGTCGTCTTCGTTGGTATTGTTGAGGTCGTTGGTGGTGGAGATGTCCGGGTTCGAGTTGGAGGGGTTGAGCGGGTTGGCGTCGGAGGCGAGGGTGACGGGGCTGAAGTGTTCGAGTTCCGGGTCGAATTGGGGCTTGGGATCGGCTTCCGAGGTGTCCGAGTCGGAGTCGTCTGAGTTGGTGGTGGATGGGTTGGTTTCGTCGTTGGGGGTTTTCTTCGCGGTTGTGGTGGTGGTGGATTCGTCCTCGTGTTCGTCGCCTGGAGGAATCCACTTCCAGTTGGAGGGGAGGCGTTTCCGTTCGATACCCACGGAGAAGAGGTTCAGGGCGATCGCGCCCAGGAACCCCTCCGACTGTACGTTGACCCACCCCTCCAGGAGCTGACCGCGCTGCGGGCGGAAGACCAGGAAGGTCGCCGTGAGGTAGACGTAGAGGACTCCGTATTCGCCGGCGGTGCGCGCCAGGGTGAGGGGTTGCGGGTGGTCTTCGGTGGCCGCGCCCGCCGCGGCGGACTCCGGGCTGTTGGGCGGCGTGCTGGAGATCGTCACGTTGGAGTAGGCCAGCACGATACCCTCGAGCGGCGGGTAGTAGGTCAGGAGCAGCGGGGACAGGTGCTCCGCCATCAGCGAGGCCTGCGCGTGGGTCGGAGAGATGGAGATGGGCGATAGCGGGAGGTAGAGGGTTGCGGTGGTGAGGGTGTAGGGGGAACCTTCGGCAGGCGTAGTGATCGTGGACTTCTTTTGACTCTTGGTTGTTGACTTCTTGCTGCTGCTGCTGCTGCTGCTGCTTTTCTTCTCGCGTATGGGCATCGGGGTCGCTTCTTCGTCGGTGACCGTGTGCTTGCGCTTCTTCTTCGAGGGGGATGAAGTGTCCTTGTGCTTGCGTTTGCGCTCCTTCTCCGGCGAGCGATTCGCTGCCGGGGAGGCAACTTGTGAGTCGATCTCCATCGCGTCGATGGCCATTGTGACTGTTGAAAGCGCAATGGATGCGCTGCGTCGCAATCTGGGGAGTGCGGAGGACGGACTTTACGATGTCGAGAAACTTTTTTTTTACCTTTTTTTTTTTCCTTCCCTCTCCGTTTTTCCTGTTCGGGGAGAATGATGTCGGGCGGTGGGTGGGGCGGTGAGAGATAAGCGCTGGAAGACAAGGGGAATGGATTACTTCCGTATTTCCCCAGTAAACATCGATTCACATGTGGCTGTAGCTGACATTAGATGGAGGAATAAGCGAGTTTTGTCTGTCAGTCAGTGGAATTTTGGTGGCTTTTCTCTCATGGCGTCGCTTCTGTCTTATATGGGATGGGCGGTCCTTCCAAATGTGAGTCCTCCAAGTTTCCCCGCGACACTGCGTCCCGCCAGGTGTCCCGTCAATCGGGGAGTGCTATACAGCACGCGCACGGCACCGATAATGCCAGGTATCGCTGACAGATCACCTTGACAGTATGCCACATCGATCGCCCAGAGTGTCTACTATGGACTTACCATTCGCGCTGGTGAACCTCGGCCCCAGCCCGGCACCCCTCGATACGCTCAGCATCGTCGTCGCATCTTTATCCTGGTCGTGACCAGCTACCTTCTCTATACGCTTTACGAGACCTTCCACCGGGTGCAAATCGCAGGCGATTTCTACAAGGCTCTTGGGGTCTCGCCCCTGGCCGACGAACGAACAATCAAGTCGCGCTTCCGCCGGCTGGCTGCCCAGCACCATCCGGACAAGATCGGAGCGGGCGACGGGCTGCGCTCCGACGGCTATTTCGTCTATCTGAAGCTGGCGCAAGACACGTTGTTGGATCCAGTTCGACGCTTTGCTTACGATCGGTTCGGACCGAGCATGCTCGAATGGGGAGAGAAGAAGACGATGCAGGAATTCATGTTTGCTGGGTTGCAGCGATCGGTCCCGCAGTACATCGGCGGTCTGGTGACCATCATGATTTTGCACTTCACCTGGTGGTCAGAATGGGGGCGCTATGTGGGTTTCCCCTGAAATACCTCTTCTTTGAAACACCCTCGTACTGACAAACCCCCCCGTCCAGTGGCGCTTTTTTACCTTTGCAGCTCTGATGATCCTCGAGTTGGCACTCATCACACATCCCAAGGCGTTGTTCTTTCCCGCATCCTACCTCCCGGATGCCGTGCAGGGACTATTCGGCGTCTCCTCGAAGAACTCCGGGTTCTATCTGCTGCCGTTCCAGATCCTGACGCTGGCCCAACGGGCCTCGGTGACGCTGCATATCTTCATCTCGCAGGTCACCCCCCCGGAGATCGGCCGACGTGCTTCGTCCAGCGCGGGGGAGCAATTGCATCCAAAGACCATGCAGCAGTTGGGACAGCTGCTGCAGTTGTCCCGGGCCACTGACGGCGAAGCGACTCAGCTACTGCAGCTGGGATTCGCACCGTTTAAGGGTGATCGTGAGGGCGTGGCCACGCTGCGCAAGGGAATGAAGGAAGGCTTGGTGCTGAGTAGCGTCAGAGCCAGTCCGGGGGTGCAGCAGGCTGTGGCGGAGGTGATCCAGCGGAAGAAGCAGGGGAAGGCAGATTGAATTTTGTATATGTGAGGGTTGCGAATCTATAACCTAATGCTCTTCGTAAGTCACGGACCACGTTGAGTTGTAACTATTATAAAGCGCGTCTGATTGTACGAACATCACAAGTGTCATCACTATTTCGTGGCAATCCTATCGTACGCGATCGGGAGGGGAATTGATTAGGGATGGAACGCATCTGGACCACTGCAGTTGCCATTGTCCATCGAATCCGGGTTGAGGTTCGGCCCCCATCGAATTCCAACCAGGCCAAGAGAAGCAAACTACTACAAATGCACGAGAATTCATCAACCATGAATTGGGGGGAATAAGCGGAAGGTGGTTAGATAAGCGTCAATGGGGTTCAGCTTCGTATACTCAAATCCAACCGTCAGGCGGGGATTAATTTACCCATCCATTGTCTCATCCTCATCATGGTGGTTGGATTTCGTGTTGAGAGGATCAGAGTGGACACGGGGATTAGTTACGAATACTAGAACACTAGAGATGGGGAGGGGAGGGGAGATGTGATGACATTCCGGAAGTGGCAAGCCGATCGGTAATGGTAATGGATGATGGTGGAAGAAGAAGAGTTTTTTTTTTTTTTTTCGTCATATTTTTTTCTTGGTTGGGATGAGGTATTTCTGGGCTGCCTCTCTTCTCACGCATCACTTGCATGGGGGAGGGTGCGATGACTACCGGTAGTAGTCTCGGTGTCCGTTCCGGCGTTGCCTCGGCGGTTGACCAGGCGTGATCACAGAAAGCAATTAGTACGTACTACGTGCAGGATGTGTGGGTGTGTGATGAGAGCGAGAGAGAAAGTAAGAGAGAGAGAGGAAAGAAGATGGTTAGAGCACGTATGTCACGGATGTGTGTGGATAGGCAACAGGTAATCCCAGAATTGGGTCATGATGTTGCTGCTACTGCTTGCTGCTGCTGCTGCTTGCTTCTAGACGATCACAAGCAGGATCTTATTCGTAACCAGACCCGTTCGACGCAAGCTGGGAGGGATTGCACAAAAGTCTAACGCGGCCGAGGCGGGACGGACGATCCATATTTTCCCTTTCGATAGTTGAAGGGCGAAAGAGACAAGACATGGTTGGAGTAAGAACTAAAAGAAGGGGTGGATTTTAATTTGGGATAAGAGACGGGGACCAGACCAGACCAGACGAGACGAGACGAGACAAGACAAGCCCAGGACGACTATTTTTCTATAACCATCCCATTTGTTTCTGGGTATAAATGTGGAATTGGGAGGGATAGGATGATGGGATGAATGGGATAGAGTGGTTTTCTGTGGAAAGGCCGAATTGATTTCCAACCAGAGGACAATCAATCACTTGACATGAATAGAGAGGAAAGAGAAGCCGAAGAAGCAAGCACCGCAAAGCACAGCAACGCAAAGTACCGGACTCGGAAGTAGAATACCACCACTGCACCACTTCTGCCCCCGGAAGATCCTGGAAGGGGGAAGAGACTGACTAAATAACTAACACTCTAACTAAGTAGTTATATGAATCCAACTCATTGACTAGCTCAACTTCACCAATTCAGCTATTTCTAGTAGATACTCACAGACTCTACGTACAGTAAGTAAGTAAGTAGTACGATGAACTACTACATACAATACACAGTATGAAAGGAAAAGTACATACCTTATATATGCGTCCTCCGTATAGTCTGTGTATTGTGGTGGTTTCCGTACCGTCCCAGTCCATTCCTGGGTCCCTTCCGATTAGGGGATCCGCGGTAACGAGGCGTATGAAGACCTCATCCCTTCGAGCTTCTCTCTCACTGACCGCACCAGAAAACTCGTTCCCTAGACGAGCAACACACAACATCCACCCAACCAACCACCACCGCAATGAAACTACCACACGGCGCCTCGACATCCCCATTCCCTTTCATCCCTCCCCGTCCTTCCTTTCTTTCTTTCCTCTCCCCCCTTCCTCCCTCTCTTCCCATACTATACCCACGATCAACACCACCCACCACCGCCATCACCACTATTCTAGGCCTCACCACCAGACTATGTCACCGCGGCCTCACCCTGCCTGTCTCGATCAGCCCTGCCAGACTCTCGCCTCGCCTTGACCCAATCTCGCCGCCGTGTTTGACCCGATCCACGCCAACGTTCTTCTCTCCACCACCACCACCACCACCACCACCACCACCACCAACCCAACCTTACTCTCCGTCACCCACGTCACGATCACCGTTGAATTCCTCATTCAACCCCTTCCCCTTCCTAACAAACCTTCTTCGTCCGATCATTTGGGTCTTAAACTTCTCGTCGCCACTCAGCCTCAAGACGAACCTCGCCTCGGTTTCTTTCCTCTCTCCACCACCGTTCGGGTAGCCTCCTCACCCACTCTCCTCTCTGAAGGGACGAACACTCCCTTCTGAAATCACCTCCACTCCCCGGACCTATTCGACCACCAAGATACCGGCGGCCAGCGCTACTATGGCCACCACCACAACCGTTACCACGAACGGTCGCTCCAGCCGGTCTGGAAGCTCGAAGAAGATGGTCGTACTCAAATTGTCACCCGATCTGCTAAGTCAATTTGCGACACCACCCCCCGAGAGCAAGGAGTCGAAGAACAAGAAGCACATCGACACCCCGGCCGAGTCCCCGGTCAAGATCAAAGAGCCATCGTCCCCGGCTTCCTCATCGGCGGAACTACCGCCCCCGCCCTCCTCCGTGGACAATGCCTCCGATGCAGCATCTACGCCTGCTGCGGGCACCTCCGCTGCCGACACTCCCCGTCGCAAGGGCGTGCCGGGCCCTAAGCCGGGGAGCAAACGGGGCCTAGGCCAAACGGGTGAGACTTACCCGAGGCCGAGAGGCAAGCCCGGTCCTAAGAAGAAGCCTAGACTGTATGTGCTTGTTGCTCCTATTCTCTCAATGTGCATGTCTCACTAACACTGCTGGCCGTACAGTGACGACGGGACTGTCGACCATGCCAAGTTGGCTGCCAATCATAAGCTCGGCCCCAAGGCCAATCTCGGCGCAATCAATGCCGGTCTACGGGCGCTGGACCGTACCGGTGCTCCGTGTCGGAAATGGGAGCGCAAGCCCTTGCAGCTGAAAAGCTTCACAGGCATCCAATGGGCTCTGCCAACCTGGCGCGCTCCCAAACCCCCCAAGCCCGAGGAGAATGGCGAGGCCAAAGAGATGGCACTCGAAACGGGCGACAGTGACAGCAAGGCCAACCAAAGTGCCAGCGGCGTGCCCAGCGAAAAGAGCAACATGGGTGATGGAGATATCACCCCATTGCCTTCGAATATCCCCGACGCCTCCTCGCCGGCTCCTGCCATTGCTATGACTGCCTAGTCGCCTCATATCGCATTCTCACACCTAATTAATGCTTTTTCTTTCTTGTATATTATTTACCCTTGTCCCTTTCTCTTTCATGTTGACTCGCATATACCGATTCAGCCCCCATCGCTTTTGATGGGGTACGTGACCGTTATTCGGTACTACCTCTTTTTTGTTTGCTGCCTTT